ATCTCAGCCGTTTCGTGTGCTCCCGGAAGCCAGTGGATCTCGTCGCTAATTATTACGTGGCCACTGATCACGACAGTGTTTGTTAATTCTCTTGCCGCCTTGGAACGGAGGTTGGATAGTGAGTGAATGGTGGGTGGAGTGTACGGCAGGGGAAGATTTGTCAGCAGAATCGCAGGAAGATTCGGTTGAATGAAGCCGTTACACTCCGTGTCGCTTCCTTACGCAACGTCGTGTTGAGGTCAGGCGAGTAGAAATTGTTGGATTTGAGCCCAGTGGGCGCCTTTGGGTTCAATTACGTAAGAGCAGCGTGTTCCAAGACTGCCCAATTAGGAGAGCCGAGGGGGAGGGGCGTGGTGGATGAATCCCGCTCGAGAAATTGAAGGGTACCGCTTAGATACGCGACTGTATGGAGATTCTTGTATCTCACCTCGCGCGGTGTGTGGCCACACCACCGGGGAGGTCCGGAATGCGATAGAAGAAGTTTCTTTCGATTAATTCCTTGTTCAGAAGCTGATTCACAGCGCGAGAGGATCCAGAACACGCGATGAAAAGTGACATCTGGAGGGTTACGTCGTCTAAAGAGCCGTCCCATTCTGTGCTCGCACGTGCGTTACACAGCATCGTATGAGACGCGGTGGTGAATGGTTAGGGATGTAGAAGGAGGCGGGCGTGGTATATTTGTGCCCACTTTCTCTGTACAAGATTATTTAGTAAAGAAGTCAGTTTATTAAGCTTGAGAAGTCATGAAACATCAATCAAATCGAGGAGAGTGACGTTGGGCGGTCATGTAGACGCATGCCGACATAGGAGGGTAGCATTTAACATGGATCTGATGCGTCACGTGCCACGGTGTCAGGGGCAGAATATCGTTCAGTGGCGTGCTCTTGTCAACGCGGTTATGAACTTTGGATTCACATGTAAGGCGAGTAACTCAGTGACCGGGCTGGCGGATTAGGCAGGGCGGTGGAACACGCGGAGGGCCGGCCTCGGGTCCAGTAGTGAGGCTGCCCGAGATGAGGTCAGCAAACTCTTGGAAACTGTGACGTCAGAACTTCTGGGTACGTCTTGCCAACTTCACGTCGTGGACTGTCAGAGGACTGCTTCGTGTGCCAAAAAGTTTTCATTTGTTCTTGTTTGTTTATTACTCCGTTGCCATGACGTTCCGGTACTGCAGGTAGCCGCAGCTGAGCGCGTAGACCACACGACATTTGCGTCTGTATTAAAATGCTTCGCGTGTTTTCTTGGAGCAAGGCGTCGTCGTCCAGACGCCTTGGTCTTGCGTTCGAGAGCTGATCGGTTCCAATTTTATCGTCTGTCTAGGAAAACGATTATTTCCACAGAATGCAGTTGGAACAGCGCCGTTAAATAAGCCAAGAGTAAGTTTTTTGTCGTTTTCAAGCGAGTCCCTGGTTGTCCCCAGGCCGAGCCGCCGCGAGCCTGCATTCGTTGCATTCTGGTCGGGCGTACCTTCGAGAGCGATGTGGCCCAGCGCGCCGTGGGCATCGGACCCTCTCAGCGACGACCTAATATTAGCAGCCCTTTCTTTGTTCCGTGAGGCGGGAGGTACGAGTGACTGACATCCTCGCGCCTCGGCAGAATTGGAGAGTTGGTTGTCTTGTCTGTCGAGGTTTCCGGAAGCGATGCGATGTGATTTCTCCTTTCTTAACAACGTGAAGAAAATGTACCCGCTGCCCCAGCCGACCCTTCGCGTCGAATTTAAAACGCTTCCTCCACGTCTAATTCCTTCTGGCGTTCAGTGGCGGTTCTGTCAACGAAAACAGTGCCGGGTCGGCTGGGACAGGGCCCACAAATTGTTGGTAGACTCGTAATACGTTTGTCGGGCCTGATAGTCGCTCAGTTACTTAGAAATTTACCTCTTTTTCCCGAATGTTTATTACCGCGCTCACAAAAGTCCGCCGCTGGACTCTGTCCTCAGGCAAGATGAATCCTTTCCTCAACCTTAGACGTTATTTTCTTAGACACCAGTTTTAATATTATCCTGGCACTTCGCAGCCCATGTTCTCAGGACAACAGACCAAGCCTGACACCCGCACAGAACAGCTGTTCATATCCTGCCAGTACGTTTCGTTTTGTGTGAAACCCGGAGGCTTCGGGCAAACGAACTTGCAGAGCATTTTCGTTGTCAATGCGATGAGCAGGAAGCCTACGTGCCCGTTCGCTTGTAGACTGCCTTTAGCTTCAATTTTTGATCATGTTATCTAAATAATCATGACCCCGTGACCTGCATTATCGACAGATGATATACGAGGCCTCGCTTTTCCTCCAAAAGCTAAGCCTTTCTCCGTTTGTGTGTAACGCGTACCAAAGAACACTTATCTTTGATCTCGTGTTGGTGTACCGATGTATGGCGGCAGTTGCCATTTGGGGGGGGGGGTGCTGATGTGCTGTACCACGCGACACGGGCAGAAGGGACAACAGAAGAATGATGACACTTTTTCGGAAATCAGCCTGCTGCAGTGAAAGACGTCTCACTCCTGTGTGTTTCGGGTGTTAAATTCCTTCGCCTCGGCGCAGTCTGCTCCAGCAGCATCAAGCACTGTGGAGCCGCAGGTTCTGACTTGGCCCACACATGGGAACTCGTAACGCAATCGACTGATTAGTCCTCACCTGCGCCACTCGATCACAAACTCGCGTGTTGCTACACCCCTGGCTGCAAGTGGCTGTCGACTTGCAGCACAAAGTGATTTTAAAAACCGGACACGTCCCTCGGTGCCAAATTCGGCGCCTAGATTGTTCAACGACGTGTGTTTAGCCCGGAAATGAAAACAGCTGTTGTTTTGACACCGTTAACGGGCCGATAGTGCGGGGGGGAGGGGGGGGGCTTCAGACGTTCTCGGTCGCTGTGAGGCAGCTTGCATAACGCACTGAGCGGTGTTCGCCGGCTGCTCCGATATTACGTACGTGACATTATCAGAGGAAGGCAATTTACGACCTGTTTCCATGTTAACGTGCTGTGATACTAAAAGAAGCGAAGTGTTTCGTTTATCGTTCCAGATAGCGACTGTAAGTCCACCGATCGCTCCATGCCTGGGGACTTGTGATTTCAGGCATGCTAGTGATGTAGGCGGTGGACCATATGATGATGTTTCTTGCAAATAGCATGTAATTTACCCAAAAGAAATGTATTCGACTCTGAATTGGGACTAGACTGCACAGGAACGGAATGTAGCCCAAGATCTTCACGTGTTGCTTGTCCGACCCATGTCCATGTTCTGCACTGGGGCTGCAGTGCGTTTACAGAACCACGCAGTTTCGCTTTGTTCCTGTATTTAAAAGGACGAGAGAGGCCTCGGGTTGTTCTTAAGGTGGGACGCCGCGGGTTTGCATGGCTGCATACCACCCAGGTGCGGCGATTTGCTCCGGGGCTGGTCCAAGGTCGCGTTCGCGCGGGGCCCACACAGGCGCCGCCCGAACGCCCCCGCGTGGCTCTTTCTTTGTTCGCTGTGGGTGCACAGGCCGACGTGTCTTCAGGTGCTCTGCGTGTTGCATAGCGACAGTTCCTCTCGTTGTACGTTTTGGAACTCCTCAGGCTTCTTCTGGGGCATTGCCTCGCAGTGCGTCGTCCAGTGAACATAGCCCACTCATGCACTTGACTCCTATACATAAATTACAGAAGACTGTTACGTCCAAGGCGAGGTTAAAAGAATGTGGTTCGGTGCTGACTCCCACTTTGCATCTGCTCCGTTCTTCGAACTCCGAACGTTCGTCTTGAACGGGTTTTTTCCTTGTTGACGTGCGTCGGGCCCCAGTGGGGCGCGGTCTGCCGGGTGCAGCTGAAGGTAGCGACCGATTACTGCCCTGTTCTGCATTGTGGCAACCCGTTTGAGCGACGTCACTGGACAGCTCTGTGGTCTGATTCCTGCCCCTAAATAAGTAGCCCTGTAGGTACAGCACCCTGATGTCGTGCCCCCTTCTTTTTTGGGACGATGTCCTGTCATGGACGCAGAACGTGTTTGTTAACCTGGTCACACCTCCGTATGAGCTGCAGGCAGAAGTCATTTTGACTGACGGCGTCAGATAACCTCCACATGTTTTCTTAATGTGTGGTCCACGTACGAATTGCTCGAAGGCATTGCAGCTTCTGAATGAGACAAGAGGAAGCTTGAGTCAGTGTTCGAGTCCGAAGCTGTTGCGTGCACTTTCCAGTTTCCAGCGGCGTCTGTCCGTACGGCACAGCAGCTAGACCGGATAAGGAAAACGGACGGATGGACCAAGCGTCAGCTTGGCGCGATGTCGAATTACGCAGATGTCGTCGTCATATCAGCCGTGTCTTCTTCCGCGAGAATCTCAACTTGCCTTCCCGTCGACGAAGTATGATGCCTCCGCAGTGCGAGATGGTTTCACGTCTTTTGCGAGAAGGTGCATAAACTCTGTGGGCATTCTGTACGTCGTGTTAACGGCGCACCACGCGTGAGGCGGGCCCCACTCCGAGGACACGTGTCCGGAGATCAGCTGACAAAAACGAGTGCAGCAGCTCCTGTCTTCGCGGCCAATTGAACTCGACACTCGAGCGCCCCCGCGTAACTTGGCAACTGACGACAAATTGTGGGTCACGTGCCAGGTTTCATTCTACCTCATAAATCGTGTCGCCCTTGCAGATTAAGTTAATTGAATGCTATCACGTTGGTACTTGTTATTTATGTTCAGAATTTTCTTCCTGAAGATGTTTCGCTTCAGTAGAATTTGAGGGCATTTTGTTTGAACCCCCTTCACTTTTCGCTGCGCATGCGCCATAGACGTCACATGCGGCGAAATCGTTGGTTGGAAGTGCCAGCTGGAATATTGTTACTCCAGCGAAAACAGCGAAGTATGTATTGCACACAGAATTTTAATGCGGAAACTTCTCTCGGAGATTGTATAGAAACATGAAGGCCCTTCTTTGGTGGTGTGTGTGGGGGGGGCGGTCTCTTGAAGACCGCGTGTGCTGTGTAGTCACGTGTTAACAGGCTAACTGGTGTGTGGTGTTCTCTGTCCTCCAGGTGCAGAGCTGAAGATGATCCGGCATCACCGACGCCTCCTCGTCGTCCTAACTGTGACGTCGCTGTGGCCTTGTGTCTTCGCCGATTTCCGCTTCATTTCGTACGAAGGTGAGTCACGTCTCCGGGCGCCGCCCTCACGATGCATCTTCGTGCTGGGATTTCGGACAATTTCTGTTTTATCCCCGCGGGGGCAAGGAAGTCGACGCGCGGTGTATCAGGGGTGTACATGCGTAGTTCGTTTTGTCCTTTCTCGTGCTCCATAATATTTTTTGTCCCAGAGGGGTGTACAAATCATGCAGCTGAAGTGTGTTCAAAGGAGGGCGTCGTGCGAAGACAGGAACCTTTGTTTGTGGAGTTTCATTCGGCACAGACGTCTCTCGACAGGAGAGCTCATTCATTGTCTTCGGATGCGGTGACCGGAATGCAGAAGCATCCGTATACAAGACGCTCCATTGTCATCCGTGTTTCCACGTGCCCTCGACGAAACCGGTCGATGTCGCGCCGCCATGTTGTGACGACGACCGTCAATCAAGTACTCCTTTCTGTTCCTTTGCAACAGTCAATGCAAGAACGCGGACCGCCTCGTTTGCTGCATCGCGGGCGAAGAGGCAATTTGTCATGAGAGTGCGTCAGGCAGCGTGCGCCCGAGGGGACACTGCGCTGGACCAGAATCTGCTCTGGAAGGTCTGTCGCCCTCGGCCCTAGCAACCAGTGTTGCCAGGTGCGGGATCCCAGCGTAAAGACTCGCGTAGCTGGAAGGGTTTAAGAGCTCCTCCCATCCTTCAGTAGCCCCTGTCTAGGAATCACGAGAACGTCAGACCCGCCCCTAGCGACTGATCTCCTGAAACTTTTGAATGTCCGAGGGCGGCCCTAGGAGTCTAGGTTGTCTCTAGCGCGCCGCTTGAACGAAGAATCTTGCAGCGAAGGACCTAATGAAGAACTTTTAGCCAGTGGCACATGTCCATCGGTGGACTGGAGCGTCGTCTGTCGTGTCAGGGTGTGGGCGCACCGAAAGGTACTAATTGCTGAGCCATTCACATCTGATTGGTCCATCACGCCAGGAATTCGTGTGTTGACTCTGGCTTCAAGCCGCGCCGCGCTGACTGGCTGGCCACTTTACGCTGTTAGGGACCGCATCTCTTTGTCATTCACTAGGCGACCACCGGGTGTGGCTTCGTGTATCCGCTGCAGGGCACGACTGAACTGATTCAGGACCGCACCGCCAGAAGGCAGCAGTGGTAACTCGGTCTAGTATTTAAGTTCTGTTCGTGTTAATTAACACACCGGCCAAAACACGTAGACATGACCCGTTTTGAGTTCCGTTGGACCTTTATGAATTTCAAGCTGTATTCGTGAATGGGAAACGGGGTTCGCATTCCGCTCGTCGCCGCGACGTGTTTACCTAATAGCTGTAATAGCAGAGGCTGCTTCGGTGCTGTCCTGGTACTTGCCTGCGCCGCCCAGAGCAGTATTTTTTTTAGTGTTTTGCGGGATTTACGTCGACGAGTAGGTCGTCGGCACACATTTTCTACGGTGTCATTTTGATGAGGGTTGTCCGTTTATGCGTTGTTGATAATATCGAATCGTCCAGGTGAAGGTTCCTGGCAACACCAGAACACGAAAATGAGATTGTCACAGTTCTCAGTTTCAAAAATTGAACACGGAGTCGGCGCGAGCCTTTTTTGAAGTCGGGTCACGTCCTGCTCCGCCCCGTGTTCGTCTCGTGATTCTGATGTCTTTGTTCTGGGATTTAAAATTCGTCGTGTGTGACCGTGACCGTTACCGGGTAGGCAGGACTTGGTCGGAGCGTCGAGCAAAACAAAGTAAGCAAGCAGCAGACTTGAAACAATGGAGACTTGCATAGTTCTGAGTCGGACGGATGAAAAACCGAACGTGCCGTTACGCGGTCGCAGGTGGCTCGTGTCTCCAGAGACCTCATCAAGGACAGTCCGGAGTTCAAAACCATGCTGGGCTTGCTGGTACCGGAATGAAGTGTTGGTGAGCTGGTCGGAGTCAGCACTGGCAAAGCGGAATGTGGGAAGGTAGGGATGTCATCGAAGGTCAGTTTAAACGAAAATCAGTGAAGTGACTTTTGGGTTTGGAGGTCTCTAATCTCCACTTGTGTGTGTGTGGTTCTGTTCCTCGTTCTGAAAGTGTGTCATTCCGTCCGTGCCGGGTCACGCGCCCGTTGAAACATCGCAACGCATGAAGGAAGTGACGCACGGGATTGGATAAAACAAGGAACTTGTTTCGGGAGGAGGATGCAGTTCG